ACTCACATAAAATTTTTAATTATTCATAGAAGTGGAAAATGCTTCTTTTCTCTTTTTAATTGCCAATTGTATAATTTATTCTTATCAGTCCCAATTGCTCGATATAATCAACTGCGTCGACGCTGATAATTAGTCGACGTCATTATTTTGAATCGACTGATGATTTTATATTATTTTACCTTTTAAATTTCGTTTTTACGCTTCGACTAAAATAACAACAGTTTCTTCCACACCACTAGTATGAGCAGTGCTTAATTTGTAAATTGCGAGGTCCCTGAACAAAGTGGGGTGACCGGTCCGGCAAGTGACTAGAGGACGGAGAGGTAACGGTGCATTCGAGCAACATTAGTGGACCAACTTAACTGATTAACAGTTTGCATCAGTTGCTTTTATAGTGTGCATGTACTCTAAAAAAAAAAAAAATCATGGTTTTAATAAAATCATTATTTTGTTTCAACCCAAACATTTTTTTTTGTGTTTGGGTAGTTTTTGTGTAACCCAGCTCCTGGGACCGGACAGTTGCAACAACAAAGGGGTTGTAATGAGTGCGGACTGCATCCTCTTCAGAGTAGTTCTCAGTGCCGCCGACGACTTGCATTTTTTTGGTCAAATATAGGTTTGTGGATATTTTATCTATAAAACCGTTTCTTTGCTGTAAATTATTTTATTTTATGCAAAGCAAACTACAGGGATGCGATGTCATTCACCAAAACGAGTCGCATCAGTCTTTTTTCGACTGATTACTTTTAAATGTATTTTTTTTTTACTTCTAAAATTAAAGTTAAACAAGTGATTAGCTGCAAGAATCGCTCTCTCTCTTTCTTACACACACGCACACTTAACTTAACGCTAATTCACCATCTTAAACCTCAGGGTTGGCAACAATCTGTCAAAGGCAAATTCTTTATATCAACTTAATGGTATAATTACGTTTCAACTCCGGTTTGTTGTTGAAATATAAACATTTAAACGGTCGCTGTAATAACTTGTTTTCATCACCGTTTTATTTAAACTATAATAATGAAAACCAAAATATAATAAATATGTGAAATTATGCATTTATTTATCTCTAGAGTTATTTTTTTTTTCTAGCTGAGTAATGAGTTTGTGGACATTGGCTTTCCTGAGGTAAATGTAATGTTAAGTGGCATATTGTTTACAAGCCGTTTTAATGATATCTTTCCATGGTTGAAACACTGAGTGATTAGAGAGAGAGAGAGAGAGGAATGATTGGTTGACGTGTGCTCTGTGCTCCTGCTTGAACTGAGCCGGCTACAGCGATCTCTCACGCCACATTAAAGAGCATCAAAACATTTATTGTTTAAATGTTGTTATTAAATTGACCGAATTTGAAAGTGTAGATTCTGCTACATATCGAAATGAACAAAGCACAAAGCTTATTGTGATTATTGGATGGTAGGCATGCTACAAATAACATTTAGTGAAGTTTTGTTTGCGTATCAAGTGAAAACGGCATTGGCTAAACGATCTTGGTTTGTCAAAATGAAGATCCATTAAAAATGAGAAATCAATATTATCAGTGCAGCCCCAGCGTCCATACAACTGACATGTTTACCTGTATGTTATCCACATTTTGTGCATGAAATAGACACTGACACACGCCATCAGAAAAGTGCTAAATAAACATAAACAACACTGTTTCGCTCAATGATTTCAGCCCTCCAGAACTGTTTCGGACAAAACCGAAAATTCATTTTTGGTCGAATATTTTCAGTTTAGAATATTTTCCACTTTTTAGAAATTAAAAAATCGAAAGTGCTGTCCAAAATATATTTGGTCCATACTATAGTTTTATTGGCGAGAGTGGTTCTGTATTTTCTCTTAACATGAATTAGAATGGTAATAAAAGGTCAATGAAACTAAATTATTAATAAAATTATCCTAATACCATGTTTTTTCGACACACTTTGGGTACAGTCTAAATATTGTGGTGAATGAATATGATAATCATTCAGCACCATATATCCAAGCACCATGGTATTCTCATGCGATACCATCACTGTACCGCGGTAGAGCACAGTGTTTGCATTGAGGAGAGACCGCAGTAAGGCAGATTTTGGTGTAGTTGGTATTCTGTGTGGGTTGGAGAGGGACAGCCGTGTCTGTAATGGGCTGTTCTCAGCAGCACTGAGGCCTTGTTGCTGTTGACCTCCATTTAGACTCAGGCAGAGTGAGATCAAAGCGTCTGATGGTGAGGACGTTACTGGTCACGACCCTCATCGGCAGTCAACACCACACACATCTCAATCACAGCACTCCAAACTCGGCCACTGCTGGAGAGATCCTAATCTTTCTGCGTGCTTTTATACCCTCATCGGCAGTCAACACCACACACATCTCAATCACAGCGCTCCAAACTCGGCCACTGCTGGAGAGATCCTAATCTTTCTGCGTGCTTTTATTTTACTCATGGGTTTTAGTTTTAACGCGGTTTGTCATTTCTGCCAAATGGAATTGCAAAAAACACTCCCACTGTCTGACATGGTGGAGAAAACGGGAAGTCCCGCCTCTCCCTCATGCCACTGGCTGCATCTGAAATCGCTTCCCTACTACACAGTAGGCATAAAACAGTGAGCCCAGATGTCTGAATTCACAGTATTCATAAGTACCCGGATGATTTACTACTTCTGGTGAGAAACTGAAGAGGGTAACACTTTGTTTTGATAGTCCACTTTAGACATTTTATCAACTATAAGTTACTATATTGCGACTACATGTCAACTAGCAGTCATTAGAGTGTTAGGAGACTGTGTGCCTAATATCTGCTAACACTTTATTTTGATGGTCTGAATGTATGTTCATACTATATAGAATGCACTTTTTAATGGTTTCTAAGTAATTACATATTCAAAAAAAAAAGTTTCCGACCAGCCCAGGTTTGACATTGCACTCAGCTTAAGGTACCAATGGATTAGTCGCAGTATATATCACTTTAAGGCCTTATTTCCAAAGCTTTCAGATTAACTCTTTCTCATGCAAACTAACAAATTGTGTGATTTGTGCAAACAGGCCCACATTCAAATAGCTTGGACACACCCAATCTATTTTGGCTTTTGAATGGCAAGCTGCTGCCCGGAATTCCATCATGACCGATCACACAAATAAAATTCAAGCCCCTCTTTGGCAAGTCACACAGTTGTTTATAATCTTTTCTGTACTCCATGCTTGTTTCCATATCTGCTTCACTGAATATGCCAAACATATACGTGTGAGAAGTTTAGTACAGCAAGGCTAAAGGCATAGTTTTCACTGCTCCCATAGTGTGTGAATGTAGAGAAAAAAACATACATTTTTATTGAAGTTGAGAAAATAATTGATAACAGTGGCAAAAGGCACCCAATATCTATACACTTACTTTAGCTAAAGTATAATGTTTTGCATAATAAGTTAATGCTTAAAACAATCACTTCAGCAAAGTTTGAACTATTTTGTTTATTTTGATTAAAAATTAAAAGTATTTTGCTTAAAAAATACATGGTAGTTAAAATGTTCATAAAAATATAGTAAAGATTCTGATAGCTTTAAAGGAGATCCCATAATATTTTAATATGGCTTTACAGCTGTAACAATAAATATATTAAATTATTTGATTAATTAAATATTTTTAAATATGATGTTTTCATTATAGATATGTGGACTGGACACCATCTGAATCTAAATGTGCTATTTATTATCATGTTATTGTGCCTTCAGTCCCAACAGCGAGGGCGCTTTTTACTCCAAATGCTTTTACGTATTCTTCAGTTATTGAAAAACAACTAAATAAATTACCTTGAACAAAACGGAAAAACATTAACAAGTCTTTTTTTCTCAAAATATATTTGGTAATTTTATAGATTCTCATGTGCTATATAAATGTACAACATTTAAAGGGGTCATATGACGTTGCTAAAAAAGAACATTATGTTGTGTATTTGGTGTAATGAAATGTGTTTATGAGGTTTGAGGTTCAAAAAACACATTATTTTCCACATAATGTACATTATTGTTTCTCCTCTATGCCCCGCCTTTCTAAAACGCGTCGATTCACGAACAGCTTGTAACACTCCAAAGAGAAAGGAAAACTTGAAATCGCATCATATGACCCCTTAAAAAAAAAAAACTTAAATATTAGCTCAAATTAGCACATAATCAATTTTGCGTTTCTGCCTGCAATGGCATCAAGAATCCTCCACATGTGCATAGTGAATCTCTCATGTTCAGAAAACTGCAGCAGTGAGTTTGTGTGCTTTCTAGTAGTTTACAGGTGAAGAAAATCAAATGTGCCTTTCCACAGATTTATCATACTCATTCCAGACCGGTGTGTGTGATGATGTGTGTGTCACAGGTACAGCGCTCCAGAAACAAGCAGATGAGGGAGATGTTTCCAGACAGCTTTGGCATCCATCACGCCGGGATGTTACGGCAGGACCGCACGCTCATGGAGAACATGTTTTCCAGAGGATACTTGAAGGTTCTGGTGTGCACCGCCACGCTGGCCTGGGGTGTTAACTTACCCGCTCATGCGGTCATCATTAAGGTCAGAGCTCGTCGCTGCAGGCTTGTGTGTGTGTGTGTGTGCATGAAACTCTGCTTTATTAAACGTAATGCTGGAATCTTCAGGGTGGGCTTTAAATGGTTCCTGTTTCTCTACAATCAGGGCACTAATATATATGATGCCAAGCGTGGTGCATTAGTGGATCTGGGCATCCTGGACGTGATGCAGATTTTCGGTCGGGCTGGACGGCCACAGTTTGATAAGTACGGAGAAGGAACCATCATCACGACCCATGACAAGCTGAGCCATTACCTGACGCTCCTGACTCAGCAGAACCCCATCGAGAGCCAGTTCCAGCAGAGTCTCGCCGACAACCTCAACGCTGAGGTACAACCCCACACACAGCTCTATTGTGATACTGTACATACTGTGCCAGGTCTATAATGACCTGTGGCATAAATCTGCTGTTTCAGTCTTATCATTTTCAATTACATTTACTATTTAAATTCATTACACTACCCATCAACATTTTGCAATAAATCATATTAGTTGGAATCCCATTATACCTCGTGTATGCTTCTATGTGCCAAAGCAGTTGTAGAAGACAGTTATTATCGTTTACTAAAACCATAAAAAAATTTAATAAAAACGTATTTTATTTTGGCTAGTTACCAAAGCAACATTTCTCATTTTCATTTAGTTTAAGCTGAAGTACTATAGTAAACGAAATAAACTAGAACTGTTAAATAAAACTTAAAAGTGCTATATAAACATATTAAAACAAATAAAAATGGCAAAAGCATAACACAATTATTAAAACTTTAACCAAAATTGAAGCGAAAACAGAAAAACAGAAACTATAAAAATAAAATCTATAATAGACAATAAAGCTGAAATAAAATACAATGCAAATAGTAGATGCAAAACTTAAACTAAATGAAAATTTGAATTGTTGTCATGGTAAATAAATACATTTTAGTTGAAGCACAAATATTACCTAATAAAAAACCCACTAAAACTAATAAAAATGACAAAAGCATAACACAATTATTAAAACTTTAACCAAAATTGAAGTGAAAACAGAAAAACAGAAACATAAAAATAAAATATATAATAAACAATAAAGCTGAAATAAAATACAATGCAAATATTAGATGCAAAACTTAAACTAAATAAAAATTTGAATTGTCGTTAGATAAATATATTTATGTCGAAGCACAAATATTACCTAATAAAAAATCCATTAAAACTAATAAAAATGACAAAAGCTCATTTTGTCAAACAAATGTACTAATTGTTTTCACTTGTTTTTCATCAGTTACAGTAGAACCACAAATTGTTCTAACACTTAACTTACAGTTAGGCTGTTTCTCTTTGTATTAAACGTAGTTTCACTTTAGTTTTTGTTTGTTGGCAAACTTTAATTTTATTTTTGTTAAAAAAATGACTGCTAGATTTGATCTTTGCATTAATAAACTTAAATGAGCTTAATAAACTCATCAAAAAATAACTTAATGAACTCATTAATGAAATGGGCTGTTCTTCACTCCGCCACATGATGGCAGCATCTACAAGGCCTTTTCAATAGAAACTCATGATCACTTTGTCCAATAGATGGCGCAGTGACATTAGACATCAGCTGAAGGCTAGATTAAAATTCTTTCAACATGGATTTCTGTGTTTATGCATGTCATATCAGTTATCATATAGCGTCCAAGATCTCAATTACATGAATAGCAATATCAAACATAAACCCCACCTCTAGAAAACACTTGGATTTGGTTTAATGTGAGTGCTGTGATATATAATGCCTGCTTGTTTTGTGCAGATCGCTCTAGGGACGGTCACTAATGTCGATGAAGCCGTCCGGTGGCTGAGTTACACGTACCTGTACGTGCGAATGAGAGCCAATCCACTCGCTTACGGGATCAGTCACAAGGCCTATCAGGTGCTCGTGCTCTCATTATCTGTTGTTAATATTCTCAATAATCAAATCTCACAGCAGTGTCGCCAGACTGTCACTATTCCGATGCTTTTCAGTTTCTATTCATATTTTGATTGTAAATTCCTTTCTTGATATACTTTATTATGACAAATGATTAATTGTGAAGCATTTTGATAATAGTTAATGTTGTGCTGTTATTTAGATGGATCCGCAGTTGGAGCTCTACAGGAAGGAGTTAGTCGTGGAGTCCGGCAGGAAGCTGGATAAGGCACGGATGATCCGTTTTGACGAGAGAACTGGTTATTTTGCATCCACAGACCTTGGCAGGACAGCCAGTCACTTCTACATAAAGTACAACACCATTGAGGTGAGAGATGCTACATACAATACTGTATAGTTTTGTAGATTGCAATTCATTGGCTGCGTGCAGTATTTAGGTCTCAAAGAAAACTTAGCGAAAATCTTTGAAATCATAGGAATAATTTACACTTTAACATTCGAATCGAAAACCGATAAGATTCTCACTGCTAGGCTTAATGTGTTTTAACATTGGTTCTTTACAATCTACAGACATTCAATGAGCTTTTCAATGCGCAGAAGACTGAAGCAGATATCCTGAGCATTGTATCAAAAGCTGAAGAATTTGAGCAGGTCAAGGTGAGACGACAGATGACCATAGGTTCATTTTTAGTGACGGGTAAATAAAGTGTGTATTTTAGAGGTGTGTTATAGTGTTAATGTTGTTTTTTTTTAGTAGTCTAGTAGTTGTTTTTTTTAGTGTAGTCTTAGAAAATGTGTCCTTTTAAGAGAAAAGCTTTGTTAGGGAGACTTAAACTCTTGATATCTTGCAATGCCAGGCATGAAAACATATATGAAGTTCTATATTTTTCTCTCTTTTTTTCTTTTTATGAATATTTTTGAGAAAATAGAGATTTTACATGTAGAGAGTATGTATTTTTTAAACTACATTTTCGTCTTGTCTTTTTTTCTTTTTACGATATAGCATGTTGATATAGTCACCGTTTCTGTTTAATGATGTTGGTGTCGTCTCATCCTTATTTAGTTAAAGTCATGGAAAACAAATTGAATACTAGTGTGTTGATGGGCTTTTGTGTACCACACGCAGGTTCGGGACGAGGAGCTGGAGGAACTGGAGAAGCTGTTGTGTAATTTCTGCGAGCTGCCGGCGACCGGAGGAGTGGAGAACGGCTACGGCAAGATAAACATCCTTCTCCAGACGCACATCGGCCGCGGGGAGGTGGACAGCTTCTCCCTCATATCTGACCTGTCTTATGTAGCGCAGGTGAGACACAAACACAGAAAGAGATCAATGCACATTGTCTTTATTTTATGCTTCTTAAAAGTGGATTGCACATTGCTAAATCAGTCGAATCGAAATATAGCAATTAAACTACACAAATCATATGTAACTGTACATGGTAGAGGAAGTTTATATTGTGTCTGAAATAATCCCATCGTGTTTCTTCACTTTAAACATTTTAAAAAATCTATTAATTCAATAAAATTTTGTATTTTAAAGAAACATTCCATCTTAGTATGTAAAATATGACATCACTTTTTTTTCCCCTCAGGTCTAGTGTTTTTAATTATTGGCATTAGCCAATATTATTATTATTTTTATTTTATTTGACCTGTTTGGCTGATATGTCGGAAGCAGGACTTTTATTTTGACAGCAGTGAGAATGCCAGCACCTGAGCGCACAGAGCTTCCATTCCCCGTCTTCATTAGTTTACTGTCTCTGTTTGAAAGTTCAGACTAATGCATTATTATACACAACTTCATGTCATGAATGTAAGATTAGCACTAACTTATAAATATATATATGATTTCCAATGTGCACAAACAAGACAGATTTCTGAGTGCACGTTTTAATTTTATTTTTTTATTTTTTTATATATATAAAAAATATTTATTTTAGTAAATATTATTTAAAATAAATTTAATTTCAGCAATTCTTTTGCATGCGATTTTTCTAGCTTTAAATTAAGTAGTGTGATCATTTATAACAGGGCTATTCAATTAGTTTTATTTGAGGGCCGGATTATTGAACTGAAATTTTGAAGGTGGCCAAGGGGGTGGGTGGCTCTCCCGATCTCTTTCTGAGGGGCCTATAAAATTAGAAATTAAATTTAAATGCATATTCAGCAGTAAAATATATAATATTATCATCACCAACATATATAAAAGGTTAACATTAGTGCTGTCTGTGAATCGATTAGAATAATAAAAAAAAACGAATTATTCACACATTTTTCTATAATTAATTGTAATTAACTGCATATTAATATATTTATATTGTCATAATTTCACATTGAACCTCCAAATTAATGTAGAAACAATATAAAGATGGTTTATTTTAAATATGTGTTTAATGGCATCTTTTTACTAAGTAGCCTATTATTAACAATGGCCAGTATTTTTGATAACAATGCAATACTGCTACTGATGTCTCTATTAAATGCATTTTCCCCTCAATTTTAGCCATTAATTATAGCAATTCAACCGTTACAGTATAATTGAAAGCCATTATTTTTAACATTTAGTAGGTTCTGAAAAATATAATTTTTAACTTTTAATTTAAGTGAACTTGAAACAATCTTCACATAAACCAGAAGTTGTATATGCATAAATGAATCTTTATTCAAGCTACAAAACTTAATCAGCGACTAGAGCAGTCGAGTGATTTCTTTTCTTCTGTTCTGTGATTTACATCAATGAGACTTCATCAGATTTCACTTTAAAAAGCAGCGCTGTCACTTTAAAATCTGATGCACGTGATGCGTATCTTGACACACATCCGATTTCTCCCAACTCTTTACGGTCATTTAGGACTTTATAACTCATTTAAGACCGTGTTTACGAGGTCACTCGCCAAAACCCAGCATTTTGACATAATTCTGTTTTTGTCCGTGGAAGCTCTACTGGCGCGCTGTCTGAAGCGGCTCAGAATACAGCCGAACACACAGTCTTTCAGACTGCATTCGATAATCATCTCCGTCCAGTGTCTGCGCTATTTCTCGACAGAAGTTATGACGGACAAGAGTTGTGGATATGTACATTTAATAGGCTCTGAAATATTAAGTGATTTTAAAACAATCTTCACATAAACTATAAGTTGTATATGCATAAACTATACAGCTTAATCTTTATTCAAGCTACAAAAGTTACTCAGCGAGCAGAGCAGTGAGTGATTTCTCTTTTTCTTTTGTTCTTTTGTTTTGATTTACATCAATGACACAAACTACATCAGATTTCACTTTAAAAGCAGCGCTGTCACTTTAAAATCTGATGCACATGACGCGTATCTGACACACATCCGATTTTCTCCCAACTCTTTACGGTCATTTAGGACTTTATAACTCATTTAAGACCGTGTTTACGAGGTCACTCGCCAAAACCCAGCATTTTGACATAATTCTGTTTTTGTCTACTGGCGCGCTGTCTGAAGCGGCTCAGAATACAGCCGAACGCACAGTCTTTCAGACTTCATTCGATAATCATCTTCGTCCAGTGTCTGCGCTATTTCTCGACATGCGCAGAAATAGTCGAGATTATACTCCTTTATACTCCTTTAAACTAGAGTTGTGGATATGTCATAACCCCCTTACACAAGCGCTCGTCAACGCTGCCATTCAATGATGTTAATTTGCGATTGTTGTTGTTACGTCTCTCATCCTTTTATTTTGCGGTTGTGAAACAACGGCCCAGGCCAGTGTTGCCACCTTGTGGACAAACTAATTAGTGCAAAAACAATTCAAGGTGTAATGTGCGACCTGCGCGTACTCTCCCCTCGGGCCGGATGAAGATGAATGGCGGGCCGCCAATTAAATAGCCCTGATTTATAAGATCGGCCACCCTGCTAGATACTGGCATCGGCCTTCAAAAAAATAATCAACAATGTTATTCCAAATTCAACTTGCTTCCATGAAACAAAATTAATGACTAAATACATTTTTGTTGTATAGAAAAGAACCATCTTAGACATTTTGAACCAAGATCTTCTTTGTGTCCTCGGAAATAAGAAAAAAGGAAGAAAGAAAGAAAGAAAACAACAACATACTTTGCTCATTCAGAGTAATTCTGACCACATCTTTGAGTGAACTATATGGTAATGTTTATCCTCTTCCCCACCATCTCTTCAGATTCTCTGTGGAAGCCATCTACTGTATCCCTGATATCTGCGATTCCATTATAACAGCTTCCATGTGGTCAGATAGTGGAAATAGGGCAGAGAAATTCCCTCTTTGCTCCTAATTCGGCTGATTTCAGATGTGCAGCTGGGATCCGGCAGTGGGAGTCATTTCCGTGTCAAACATATGTTGAGTTTAAATCCAGACCCTCTGTGATGCTCAGGTCTGAGAGATCTCTCTCCGTCACCCGTCAGGGATTTTAGATGTATATGTTTAGATGTACGCACACAATGATTCTTTCAATGGTTTTTGCATCTGTTCAGAGAGGAAGACTCTTCTCATCATTCAGCTGTAGATCAAAGTGGCTTTGAGCTTTCATTGGTGAAATTGACAGCATGTGATTGCAGAGATTATTTTATGATGATAGATAGATAGATAGATAGATAGATAGATTTGCACCTTTAAATTTGTATTCATCTGTAACCAACAATTTTGAGAAATCAGTTATATTTACACAGTCACATTATCAAAATTTTGGAGATTCGTTGTCTGTTGTCAATAGTGTAGCGATGTAAGGAGCACAGCTCACACAGAAGTCACTTTCAAACCAAAATCCCCGATCACATGGATTGCTATTGAAATGACTGGACTTTGTCTGACAAAATTCATAGAACAACATAAATTTACACTAAACACACCTAAAAATGAATTTTCATCATTACAAAAACAATCTAACAAAACACGGTAACACTTTAGTTTAGGGACTAATTCTCACTATTAACTAGTTGCTTATTAGCATGCATATTACCAGTATATTGTCTGTTTATTAGCACTTATGAAGCACATTTTAATGCCTTATTCTGCATGATCATATTTTAGATCGCTTAACCCTACCCCATACCTAAACTTAACAACTACCTTACTAACTATTAATAAGCAGTAAATTAGGAGTTTACTCAGTCGTAGTTAGTTAATAGTGAGAATTGGTCCCCAAACTAAAGTGTGACCCAAAACACTTAAGTAATCAAATCATTGGGACAAATCGTTCAAATTAAAAATAATTAGTTTTCTGAATCTCTGACCGCACAACCCTAAAGATTCACATGCATCCCAGCAGACGGTCAGTCCACAAAGCTCATCTGAAGTTCAAAGCCGTGCATGTAGTGTGCTGTGCTTTCACTGAAGTCTTGTGAATTGGATCATGGGGACTGTTCTGCAGGTACTCATCCATTCGAAAGAGTTCGGTTGCTCTTGAGGCCTGTTAAACAGCAGCATCTGGGTCAACAGGTGTTTGTCCTCCAGCTTCGCTAACAGTCGACCATTTCTGCTCAATCAATCAGTGACTAGATCAGTCCATCATAGCAGTCAGATCTATGAGTGAGCCTGCACTTTATAGATCAAAGTAATGTTAGATTCCCAAAGCCATCTGAACATAACTCACACTCCACCATCAAACATACAGCCGCTTGGCTCTGATTTATACCCACAGCAGTCAAAGCAAATGGACATTAGTCATTCTATAAAATGTGTTCTAGATAATGAACCAAATTTAAAGGTGTCCTTTAAAAAGCTGTTCCCCAAAAAAGAGAACAGTACTTGATAAATCTGTTTAAAATGACGCTCTCGCATTAGACAAGCTATTTTATACTTCATAAGGTTGCCCACCCCCAAGTAGCTCTTATTCAGTTACACAACCAGCTGAATACCTCTCACTTTATTTCAGTAACCTCTTATTAACAGACTTTTTTTTTTCAGTTGTGCAATAAATTAATCATAATTATGTGACTAATATGCCTGTGAATAAGGTATTTCGACAATGCATGTGTTTGCGTGTATACATAATGCTCTTAAAACGATCTCATTATAAAAATCAATTTTAATGAATTACATGCAAACCAATAAAACAAAAACACAAGTTGTTTTCTATAAACAGCAGAGTTTTCTGAACCTCTCTGGATTATCGCTAGACCATATCTGGTTGGCATGGAAGCACATTTCTGCCACATTAGGGGAAAAAATGTTTTGGTAAATCCTAATTATGACATTAGAAGTTATGAGATTATGAGAAAGCAAGTCATAAAACGTTAAGATTCAATCATGACATGTTAAGGCTTTATGACATATACCCCCGGTTTCATAGACAAGGCTTAAGCCTAGTCCTAGACTAAAATGCAAGTCTGAGCTGTTTCAACTGAAAGAAACTTGCACTGACTGATCTTAAAATATATCAGTGCCTTTGTTTTGTCTGAAGATGCACACCAGTAATGTTTTTTTTCTAAGCACTTTCATAAAAATTGCTTAAATGTCCTAATTGAACTTTGATCTAATCCTGGTTTACTCTAAGCCCCGTCTGTGAAGCCGGGCCATAAAGTAGTAGTTGATATAAAAAGTAATAATTATGACATATAAAGGTTGAAAGGCAAAATTATGAAATGCTCCATCAAAGTTATGAGATTAAAAAGCCAAAATAACTACATACAAAGTTGTGATACGTAAGTCATACTAAAATACTAAGTAGTTATTATGAGATAAAATTCAAAATTATAACACTAAAACTTGAAATTTATGAGAACTCCTTATGACAAAGTCCAAATTGGAAAAACAATTTACAATACTTAAGGCGAGATACATAAATCATATAAGTAAGATGCAAAGCCATTATTATGCAATAAGTCAAAATGATGGCATAAGAGATCAAAAGTTATAATAACGACATAAGCCAAAATTTTGAGAAATCGTAATTATGAGAAAAAGTCAAAGTTGACAGACAATTTATGTCTACATACATAAGTCATATACTGAGTCATTGTTATGAGATTAAAATTGTGACTTAAAAACTTGAAATTGACTTGGATGTCATGATTTTGACATTTCATAATTAGTATATCGTCATTTCGACTTTTATGTTATTCTTGCATCACACCTGGGCAATACACATGTATTTTCTCCATCTCTGATATGTTTTCAGTTACTGTATTTCAGCTTCTGTATTTATAATGACAGTGTCAACTATTTAAAACCGACTGGTTATTAAAAAAACTGTTCAGTTTATAACAGTTTAATAACAGTATAATAACAACTGTTTGGTTCAAGTACATGATTTATGGCAGCCATATTTATCTACAGTGTGTACGTGGCTTTTATTCAGTCCTATACTGCTGTCACATCGGCCGGTGATCCGCTTGATTGACTTGATTGTGTGATTGAGAGTCTCTTTGTCGTTTTTGTGCAGAATGCTGCTCGTATCGTGCGGGCTCTGTTTGAGATCGCTCTGAGGATTATGAGAAAGCAAGTCATAAAACGTTAAGATTCAATCATGACATGTTAAGGCTTTATGACATATACCCCCGGTTTCATAGACAAGGCTTAAGCCTAGTCCTAGACTAAAATGCAAGTCTGACCTGTTTCAACTGAAAGAAACTTGCACTGACTGATCTTAAAATATATCAGTGCCTTTGTTTTGTCTGAAGATGCACACCAGTAATGTTTTTTTTCTAAGCACTTTCATAAAAATTGCTTAAATGTCCTAATTGAACTTTGATCTAATCCTGGTTTACTCTAAGCCCCGTCTGTGAAGCCGGGCCATAAAGTAGTAGTTGATATAAAAAGTAATAATTATGACATATAAAGGTTGAAAGGCAAAATTATGAAATGCTCCATCAAAGTTATGAGATTAAAAAGCCAAAATAACTACATAAAAAGTTGTGATACGTAAGTCATACTAAAATACTAAGTAGTTATTATGAGATAAAATTCAAAATTATAACACTAAAACTTGAAATTTATGAGAACTCCTTATGACAAAGTCCAAATTGGAAAAACAATTTACAATACATAAGGCGAGATACATAAATCATATAAGTAAGATGCAAAGCCATTATTATGCAATAAGTCAAAATGATGGCATAAGAGATAAAATCGGCCGGTGATCCGCTTGATTGACTTGATTGTGTGATTGAGAGTCTCTTTGTCGTTTTTGTGCAGAATGCTGCTCGTATCGTGCGGGCTCTGTTTGAGATCGCTCTGAGGAAGCGCTGGCCGGCCATGACCTACCGCCTGCTGAACCTGTGTAAAGTGATTGACAAGCGTCTGTGGGGCTGGGCCCACCCGCTGCGGCAGTTCAGCGCTCTGCCCCCTTCGGTGCTGTCCAGAATGGAGGAGAGGAATCTCACGGTGGACAAACTCAAAGACATGGGCAAAGATGAGATCGGTCAGTCTGACATAAGAAAATGATGTGGATTTGTCAGTTTTAGACTTCATCAGGAGTTTAAGGACAAATATTCATTGTGTGTGTGTGTGTGTGTGTGTATAGGTCACATGTTGCATCACGTGAACATCGGCCTGAAGGTGAAGCAGTGTGTTCATCAGATACCCGCCATCCTGATGGAGTCCAGCATTCAGCCAATCACACGCACTGTCCTGCGCGTTCGCCTCAGCATCACCCCAGACTTCAGGTGGAATGACCAGGTAACCATGGCAACCATAGCCAGGACTTTACATGCTGCTGTTAGTCTTTGGAATATCTGGATTATTATATACCATAGACCAGCAGATCCCAAACTGTAGTGCACGTTTGTCCACAGACGAGCCAAAAATTATTTTAATAGCTGAATATTAATTTCAAGTTTGGTTTTAATAAACATTATATTTGGTTTTATATCCATATGTATTTTATATACATATATACGTGCATAAATGCATATATTTGTACACATTATGCACAATTCCACATATCCTCCACACACACACACATGCTCACAGTAGGTTAGGCAGGAGGAGCTGAAGGAGTCATTGATTTGTCCATCTCCTCCCCTGCGTTTAAGAACACAAAGGCTTGAATAGGCCCAGATCTGTTGCTATTGTTCTCTTGAGGGCCAGTGCTGTGATGGGCCACAGATGGGCCGCTCTGTGCCTGGTACTCCTGTGTGACCATAACTCGTCCAGCGTGACACCCAACAGCTGGATGACCATCAGCCAACACTAATCACCCGCCAACATGCTCTGAGCATGACCTGCACTCTGCCACATGAATGCGTCATTAAGAAACATTACATTAATCCACTCAGTAAGTCTTGTATATAAATATAATACATAATACATACAGTACATTACAAACCTTTTTTTTTTTTTTTTTTTTTTTTGAGTAAATGAATGAATACTTGTATTCAACAAACATTAAATTGATGACACATTTTTGTTACAAAAAAAATTCAAATAAATTCTATACTAAAGAAATATGTATTCATCAAAAATCCTGGGGGGAAAAAATGGTTTAAAAAAAATTTATAAATAAAATGCTGTTTTCAACATTGATAATAACAATAATGTTTGTTGAGCAGCAAATCAGAATATTAGAATGATTTCTGAAGGATCATGTGACACTGAAGACTGGAGTAATGATGCTGAAAACTTATTGTGAAAAATGGAAACAATAAGTGCATTGTATTAAATGATTAATTTAAATAAAAGTACATAGTTAAGGATGCTTAATATAAAGTGGGTGCCAAACATTTTTGGTTTTATTGTTGTTGTTGTTGAAGCAGCATCAGTTCGCTTGCCCCATCACTTTCTCTCTTTCCATGACAAACTCACAAACCTATTATTTAAAATTGTATAATTTTATGTATTCATTTTTTTTTCAGTTAGCTAGGTTCAGTTCAGCTTTACTCTTGATTAGATTTATGTTGTTGGAATCATGTTTTATTTCTTAAATGTTTTCAATAAAATGTGTTAAAAATGCTGTTCACCAGCAGGCTTCGATTCAGATCTCTAATGTGAATAAAGCTGTGATTCAGCTTAGATTCAGATTCAGATCAAACAGCTCAACGATGATTTACTCACACCATGGTCATTCAGATGCTTTAATGAAAAATACGAGCTGCCTGACAATACGTATATCACTCGCTTTAATGTAAAACAGGCTACAACTCAACAGGCTATAAAGATTTCACTCACTTTAGAGCTAAATACAAGCCATCCAATATAACAGATTTCACTCTCTATAAAGCAGTGAATGTGATTAGCAAGAGTTTGTGTGCTCTCATTAAGATTTCTGAATGTCAAGATCCTGTGACACCATTTTTAATTTTGTATCAGACTTTTATAAAGTTTTGCTGTTTCTCATGCAATAGGAATGTTAAATGTATCATTCATGTGTGGTTTGGTGTCCGTAATGTAAGTTTGGTCATGTGGTTTCCATGGAAACAGTAGTTTTCACTTTCATGAAGGTTTTTAACTTATAAATGGACATCTGTTTGAAAAAAATGCATGTTGTTTTTTGTATTCTCATTGTACCACTTTTATGACACCTCACATCTGGTCCTGCTCAGGTCCATGGCTCAGTGGGAGAGCCCTGGTGGTTATGGGTGGAGGATCCGATCAACGACCACATCTACCACTCTGAGTACTTCCTTCTGCATAAGAAACAGGTAAATATACATGCGCATCTTCTGACACGAGCAAACCCAAATGTATAAACCCTAATACCAGATCACAGCATGAAGAACGAAACTACAAGTGTTGCTTTGGCAACTAACTAAAAAAAAAGTATAAGTAGTAAAATTAATATATGAAAAGTTCATTTGCAAAAACCGATAACTCGATTTTTTTTCAGAAATCAGTTTTTTTTTATTGCGCATTCCAAGTAATATCAATCAAACTGCAGTTGGGTTGTTTTGATTAAGCCTGAATACAGCGCGCTGATTCGCTAAAATGGACTTATCGGCTTCTGTTCAAAAGCAAAGCGCGCGCTTGTCGGCTTCTGCAGTAAAACGTAAACTCGCGATGCCTTGAAAGTGGACAAAACCGGCTTTTTTGACAAAACGTGTTTAGGGTACAGATCGCACTATATGTGGAGAATAATGCACGGCAATCAGCTCTTTTTTTTTTTTTAAAGTGGCGTTTATCGGTTTTTGCAAATGAACTCTTCATATGTTATTATTTCTTATCATTTTATTTGATCAGTATTATATTAGCAGCATTATTTATTGTTGGTATGTGTGCTCTCCGTGTATCTCGCTGATGCTGGTTGTGACGAGGTGAGATGAGTTATTAGAGGCATCTGTGTAGTTCAGTATCTCAGCTCACTCGTGTTCTGCTGTGATTTTATCATCACTAACTAAACAAACCTGATCACCGGCATCACACACATGCACTGATGTGTGACTCTTTCAGCTGAACTCAGATCACTGGTGTTTTTAGTATCATTGGCACTAGTACAGTTTTTCATATTTTGATGTAATTAATGTTTTTATTAGTGGTCGACCGATATATCGGCCGATATTTGGCATTTTTCAAATATCAGCATCGGGCGATAAGTTTTTCCTGTTTGGCCGATGCGTTCAAGGCGGGACTTTTATTATATAGAAGTCTGTCTAATAATCAGATAGAACGGTTAAACAAAGGACCTTACCTTGGCTTTATTTGAAAAAATATGATTCCCAATGCACACAAACTTCCCAGAATACCGAGTGCTCTGTTGGTTACAGTGTTTACTTCCTTTTTAATTATATTTTTATTAAATATTTATTGATGAGAAATACTTTGTCATCTAAAGTATAAGTATGTTTATTTTACACATTTATTTTTTAATCCATTTTCAAATGATTTAAAATTTCTTAAATATTAATTAAAATAAATACAATTATATCGGCTTGATATCGGCCATCAAGATATCGGCATCGGCTGTCAATAAACCAATATCGGTCGACCACTAGTTTTTATATTTTCTGATTTCATTTTAATTTTAAAGTAATGTCCATTTAGTTTTTTTTTTATTTCAGTTTTAATTTAAATATTAAAATATTTTATATTTTTTGTTTTAATTTTAGTTAAATGTTGTTGTTTTTTATTTTTTTAATGTGTAGTCTTTATTATTTTTTTATTTCAGTTTTAGTTTATAATTTATTTCCGTTTTAATTTTATTTTCTGTTTTCATTTTAAATTTACTTCATTTTATTTTTTTATTTTTTATTTGATTAGGTTTTTTAATGTCTATTTAGTTTTTATTACTTTTCATTTCAATTTTAGTTTATTTCCATTTTAGATTTATTTTTCCATTTTCAGATTAATTTTAGTAAAAGTTTTAGTCATTTTTAGTAGTTTTTTAAAAATGTTTTAGTTTTTTGTTTTCGTTTTCATTTAGTTATTGTCAGCTTTAGTCATTTTAATACTTCAACTTAAACTAAATGAAAATTTGCTTCGGTATTTACTAGTGTTGTCAAACGATTAATCACATCCAAAATAAAAGTTTTTGTTTACATAATATATGTGTGTGTTCTGTGTATATTTATTATGTATATACAAATACGCACACATA